TAGAGGCAAACCTGAGGGTTTGAAGGGTGGTGAGGTAGAGCAAAAAAGAATATAGAAGTAAAGCAGGTGTGTTAGTACACACTTGCACACACCTGTGATCCCAGCTCACTGGTAGGCTGAGGTAGGAAGATCTCAAGTTTGAGCCCAGTCTGGGGAATTCAGGAACTTAGTGAGACCCTGTCTCAAAAAAAAGGTAGGGGAGTGAGACTGGAGATGTTGTTCAATGTGAAGCCTCCTGGGTTCAATTGCCAATCCCACAAATAAGTAAAATAAATACACGTACAAGTACCTGCTGATCCCACCTACTACTTAGAACTTGAACTTGGAAAAGTCATGTCGCTTCTCTGGGCCTCTTGCCCTCATCTCACTGCGCAGACTCTCAGAATCACTCTGCCTTGGGGAAAGAAGCATCTCATCTTCTCACCCATCCCAAACAAACAGTGGGACCTTTCTACTCAGAGATGAACCAGGAGGCTCCTTATGGCAGGAAGTCCTTGGGCACTCAGAAGAACACTGAATGCCCCTAGAAAGAGTTATACCGGCAGCCGGAAGACATAAATAGCACATGAACGCGGTGTGCTCTATTGTGATAGATAGTAGGCCTCAGCCCAGAAGAGACTGAGTCCAGGGAAAGCTGTGGAAGGGAAGATGCCATCACTCTTTCCCTTTAAGGAGCCTGTTTGACCTGAGAGGATAAAGAACATACTTCCTCCCGGGGGCCAAGTTTATCACATGGGCCAAGAAGGCAGTACCTGCACCACATGTGTTCACCTGGGGCTTCTAGGGTTAGAGAAGACAAAAAGCCGCGTCCTGAGGTTAAAAGTTTGCATCCAAAAGTTTAAATCAAGCTTTGCCTCATTGCTCCCTTGGACAACAGAGACGCAAGATTATTGATCAGCATGCAGGACTTTTGTTAGGGAGCATTCTCAGGATCAGCTACTGTGGGGGAATAGGAGGCAGGACTGGGCAGAGGGAGAAGTTCAGGTGCAGTCACAGGAAGCTTTGGCAGACCTGGAGGGGAGCTCTGAAGGGGGGACAGCCCCTGGGGTAGAGGGGCTAAGCCTTCTTCTGTGCACCGACCAGTCTTTGGGTGCTATCAAGGGATGGGGAAGGGAAAGCAGCTCTCTGCAACCAAGGACAATTCCTCACCAGGGCTAACAGCTGAACAGATCGCTCTACGCCCCACCCAGTAGCTGGAGAAGTCCCTCAGGCCTGAGGGGGATCTAGGCAGCACTTGCCACAGTGCCCCATGGTGCTGTGCAGATGGTGACATTTTGTATTATGCTCTGTAATAATACTTTAAATTTCCCTGTATCGTGAAATAAAATTGGCCCTCCAGGGTCATATTTACCCAGTGACTCGAATTGCCTATCACATCGGCCATACTGGGACCACAGCCTACATGGGTTTGAGAAGCACTGCCCCACTGCACTCACAAGCAGATCTGCTGTTTTTAACACCTCAGTTCTTAGCGTTGACTTGCCTCACTAACGTTCTGCAAGCAGCCTCTTCAGGAAGCTGGTGGGCATCTTTCTGTGGAAAACCTACCAGAAGAAGGTGAGTGGAACAATCTTCCTCCGCTGCGGCTGCAGCTCGTCATGAAGCACAGCAGACACCCTCATCCTTTCTTTCTTCCATCCATTTGAGATCCCTCTCATCCTCTGCCAGCGCCTCTGATGGTCTGGTGGCTTATGTGCTAAGTGCCCTACACCTCTACTTTTCAGGCTATGGATACTGTATTTGTTCACTTTGTGTCAAAACAGAGCCAGGGACTACTGTGACACCCAAGTGGATCACTGGATGCCAGACACTGGTTCCTGTCCCTATGTGTGGTAGCAGCCTGCTTCCTTCCTGGTGACCACCCTTGCCTGCTGATTCCTTGGCATAAGGAATGTCTGATATATGATGCCTGCTAGTACATTTCCTCCCCCTGGTATAACATTCTGTTCCCCACCAGTAAAACACTTTGCAGTCTTAGAGCTTCGCTGTAGCAGAGGATGCCTGAGCTCCTCCTCTCTTGGGGATTTGTCCTCATTCTTACCTTGGGTGACCCAACTCCCAAATACTTTTTTAGCGTCCACTCTTTCTGGTCATCTCTGGCACTAGCTGTTTTGTGGGTTGGGTTCTTGAAGAAACACTCTGAGTTTCAGGAAGTTTATTGTGCTTTGGGGGCCACATCTATGGGCAGAATGAAGGAAGCAGGACTGGGTGGAGAGAAACCAGCCTGCAGTGGACCCCAGGGCAGTGTGTCTCAAACTAGGATTTGACTGGTCATTATATTAATGGCTAGTGTGGATCCTTGCTTCAGTGATAATGGAAATTAAAAGTGAGGCAACAGCATTCATTGAAAAGTAAAAGAAAATGAGGGAGGAACTTTAGGTTGAGGAGAAGAAAAGCTGAAGAAAGTATAGCCCTGATGGAGAAGATTAGGCTGGCTTGTTAACACAGGAAAGCAACAGAAAACAGGGAAGGGACTTCAGCTGGTGAGAAGAGCTTAAAGTGGCACAACTCTGATGGAGATCAGTCTGGTCCACTGGCAAAGGAAAGAGGCCAGTTTTTATGGGGCTGCTGAAGTCTTTATGGTTTGAGGGGCCAATCCAGTTTCTTATTTCTGTTTAGGGGTCAGTCTGGGTTCTGTAGAGGCTCTGCCAGAATCCATGGTGACTGCAGGTTTAGGCCTGTGGCTGGAGACTTCTAGGCATTGCAGGGAGTAAAAGCTGATAGTTGAATATCCCTGAAAACCTCAATCCCCTTCCCCCTCTCTGTACCAGGAAGTGAACTCAGGACCTTGCACTTGCCAGGAAGGCTCAGTGCCACTGAGCTACATCCCGGCCCTGTCTCTTATCTTGGTGTCTTACTTTTCTTGTTGCTTAGACAAAATACCCAACACCCAAAGTTAAAAGAGAAAAGGTTTATTTGACTCACAGTTTGTAGAGGTTTCAATTCATAGTTGGCTGGTTCGAAGGCAGGGTGGCGTGGCAGAGGGGCATTGCAAAGGAGAAACAGTTCATGGTAGGCAGAAGGCAGCAAACAGCAAAGCAGCAGCAAGTGACAACAGCAGCGCTCTTTCTGTCCCTTATATTCTATCCAGGCTACACGCCCAAGTAGCACTCACACCAAGGGTGGGGCACCCTTAATCCTAGCATTTGCTCGAAGAATCAATCCCAGCCTCACATCCTTAATCCCAGCATTACATTAGATGCAGCCACTTCCAAAAAGCCCTACCTATGACCACATGAGCTTTGGGGGGACATCTAGATACAAGCCATAACATTTGGTATGCTGGTGTCTTCAGTCTTGAAGGGGAACGAGCTCGGTTAGATAAATTTAGGGCTAATAAACCTTGTATTACCAGTTTTTAGACATAGACTCCTTAAATGATAAACATGTCTATAAGCAGAGCTGAGCAGGGATCTGATCCAAAGTTTTAAGGTAACAGAGACAGATACAAAATGAAGGCAAAGAAACCAAGCTTTATCCTGTTTTATTTACCCAACAGGCATCTGTAGGCCCCAGAGTCACCGTTTTAGCTAAAGCAGCTTTTAAGTCCCTGACTGCCTCAGAAGAGGACACAAAGCTTTTTGCTTTTAACGAGTAACAGGTTAATGGTCCTGGAGTTTGTTTATCCTCTGTCCCTCTGTGATGATCCCAACAGTTTTATTTTCTCATCTAGCCTGTTCTTGAAGACACTATGGCCAAAGCATCCTGGCTTTAATGATCCACCTGGTTTTTGAGGCCTGGAAGATTGTTCAGAATGTGCTCGCTTTGGCAGCACATATTCTGAGATTGCTCAGAAGTATGAGGGGGTAGAGAAGAATACATACCATGCTTTTGAGTTAAGGCCCAGGACTGCACCTGCCCTTTGTCCCTGTGGCAGTCTCTGTTAGGTACTGGCTGTCCTAGGAAGTGGGAGCTTGGCCACAGGGCTTTCTCTGCCAGCAGCAGGGGATTGTGGGGTGAGGGAACACTTCAGCCCTCATGGGGGGTCTGGACAGCACAGCAGTGCCCATGACAGTTTATTACCTTGCAATTCCACCAATCAGTGTGACCCTGGCATCGACTCTAAAGAGGTATTTTTCAGGCTGAGATGGAGGGAAGGCTGGCATGCTTTATTCCCACCAAGGCCCACCGTTTCCCCACTGATAAGATGAAAGAAAGGAGTGTATTTAATGATGGAATTTATCTGATATCTAGGTAGAGCCCTGCCAGACTGGAAAAGGAAACGGGTGACCTATCACAAGAAAGCCTGAGCCCTGCCACACAGGGTTTATCCACCAAGAAATCTGACCTGGTTTGTCGTCTGGGTGGAGCCACATTCACAGCTGAATAAGGTGGGACTGACTCAGGTGAACCTGGAAATCTTGGCACAGTGTTTAATTACTACTTGTTGAGGGGCTGCACACCCGGGAGTGCTTAAACTCCATGTTCTTTTTCTTTTTCTTTTGGAATTTATTTTTAAGACATTTTTATTTGTACATGTTTGCACGCTGTACATAATGATTACATTCATTGTGAGTAGTTGGCACATGTCCACACACCTTCATTCTTTATACATTCCCTTCCCCTCCCTCTAGAATTTATTTTCAATAATTTACACAGTATTTACTAAAATTGTCCCCTTCGTCTTCTTTTTAAATATAAGTACCCGGAGGGTAGAGCCCTTATTTGTCTTGCCTACTGCTCTGTCCCTCACATCACCACAAACCGCAGCACAGCTTCCAGTGAATATTTGTTGTATGAGTGAGTGTGTGGGAGAGGAAGCCTTATTTTGGAGAAAAAGAAGGAAGGATTAATCCCTCTCCTAATAGTGACTCATTGTTTTCAGGCCACCCTTGGCCTTTCTTATCCAAAACAGCCATGAAAAAGAGTGCACTGGCAAAGCAGTTAGAGCTGTTGATGTAACAATATTTTGAAATACCATCATTAGGAGCACAGCAGGGGATTCCCTGATCTTCTAGGTATTCCGCGATCTTCTATGATCTCCTAGCTATGATCTTTCTCTTCAATGGACTCCCATCTTTGAGACACTCTCCTCTGGGCTTTCTGCCCCTTTCCCATTTCGGTGTTTGACCAAGAATTAAAGAAGAACCCGGTGTGAGCCAGCACTGAGCTTCTCTCCGGAGAACCTTCGTTCTTCTCATTGAGGTTTTCACGCTCTGCACTGGAGTTCAACACCCACCCCGTTTTCAGTGTCCAGAGCACTTGCGGCAACCACAGTTCTGGGCATTGTCGCAGCGCCCCCTGGCGGCAAGGCCGAAGGACGGCGCCCGCGGTCCACGGGTTAGGGTTAGGGTTCGAGTGTTCGAAACTGCTGAGAAGGGCACCGACTCCATCCTTAGCTGGAGAAGCCTTCTCAAGCCTTCTGCCCTCTCTGGGCTATGGAGAAGGCCTCTGGAAAAAGCAAACATGGTAACTGGGCAGCGGGGAGAGGATGATGCCCTGGGTCCCAAGACTGCCTCACTTTTTCTCCTTTGTGAGATGGGACTGTCACGCTCGTGGCCTGGGAGGTGACCTCCGGCATTGATTATCACGGCAGCATCTATGCGCGGTGAGACGCCCCTCCCGTTGTAGTGGATGGCTCTGAGTTTTGGCAAGCATGTATCTGAGCTCGAACTGCACCACCATCAAGATAGGCGACCCCTCCATCCCCCCAAATTGCCCTGCAGCTGCCTGCTTGGCACCCAATGCCTCTTCCACCCTAGTTGGTCACACTCTCGTTCGTTTTCTAGAGTTTCACCTTTTCCATGGAAAATGTCATAAAAATGGAATTATGAATGGAGCTTTTTGAGTCTGACTTCTTTTACTGAACCCCGCTGTTTTCTGAAACTAGACTTCATCGATTAAACGCAGAAGCTGGAACCCAGACCCTGCCTGAAATGAGTATGCTCAGGAACCAGAGGCTCAAGGAGAGCATGCCCCAGCCCTCAGTTGCTCCCCCAACCCTTCCCTGGAAGGCTTTGAAGACCACATCTTCTTTATTCTGTTTTTTCTTTTTTTTTTTCCAGCCAGGAAGCTTCTGTGGTTTGGGGGAAGGCGAGGGTGGAGATGGCAAAGGCCATCGGCTTCCAGCAAAGGGCTGTAGACGCTGACAGCTCCTCATAGCTGGGTAAGCCTCTCTCAGCAATGGCCCTGAAATCACCACCATCACAGACGTGGCAAAGCTCTGGTGAGCTGCAGTGTGCCACTCCCACTCATCCTTGGGGACAGAGTTGTACAGAGAATCCTGGAAAGGTATGCTGAGCACAGTTCTCTTCAGAAGCTTCCTGTGCACTGAAAAAGAACCTTCCAGAAGCTTCCGTGTGGAACATCATTTGTCCTAAATCACTGCTTAGACCTCAAAACTCTTGGTCCTGCAGAAAACATGTTCCAACCCCTTCCATGACCCATTGTCCCCAGAGCCTTTGGATTTTCCTCTCAAATGCTTTTTGGATCTATCTACTGTCCATTTCCACTGTCGCTGCCATGACATGCCTGGGTGACTGCAGTGCTTTTTTCATGTCTCGATTCCACTCTGGGCTCTACAATCCACACACCACAAGCAGCCAGAGGTTTGATTTTATTTTTGTTTTAAATGCAAATACAGTCATGTTCCGATTAAACCACTTTCAAGCATTTTCCTTAAGGCAAACCCGAGCACCAGGCCCTGTCGGCATAGCCATTAGGCCTCCCTCCCCACTCCCTCTACTCATCTCCTTGTTCTCAATGGCACTGCCCGTCTCAGAATCTGGGTACACTTTGCTCTCTCCCATCCTCCTTTATATAAATATTTCCTATTGGTCTTTTCAACCTTAATTCATATTTACCCCCTCAGAGAAACTTGATGAGACCTTTGTCCCCTGATATTCCTTCTCAGAGTTTTCTCTTTTTTCTGTTTTTCTGAGACAGGGTCTCAGTCTGTAGTCCAGGGTGGTCTCAAACTCCAGGTCCTCCTGCCTCAGCCTCCCAAGCACTGAGATTTCAGGCATGCAACATCATGCCCAGGTACCTCAGAGCTTTCTGTCTTTTTCCTCCATAGCTTGTGTTATTGTTCACTATCAATTTATATTTCTGTAACTGTTGATAACTGTCTCTGCCACTCAGTTGTAAGATCCTTAGGGGCAAGAAACAAATCTCTTTGTCTCACCATGGTAAACCCAGGATCTAAACACACTGTCTGCATCAGTTTTTGATTGTTTATTTGTTTTTTGAGACAGGCTCTCACTATGTAGTTCAGGCTGTACTTGAACTCACTATGTAGCCCAGGCTGGTCTCAAACTCGTGGTGATCCTTCTGGCTCAGCCTCCAGAGGGCTGGGAGTGGAATCAGGCACCACCACACCCTGCATGCCAGCATCAATTAAGTATTTAAGTGACTGGATAATAATAACTAATACTGATTAAGTACCCACGATATACCAGGCACTGTGAAAAAGCCCTTCAATGCCCTCATTTAATTCTCCTAGCATTTGTTTTTTTTTTAGTACCGGGGATTGAACTCAAGACCTTTCGCTTTCGAGGCAGACAGCGGAGCCACTGAGCTAAATCCCTGGTCCTCATAGCATTTCTTATTATCCTCATTTTGCCAACCAGGAAACTGAGGAATAGGGAGGTTATGTAACTACCTCAGCAGTCTGGCTTCAGAACTGCTGCTAAGGTGCTGTCTCAGTCAATGACTGAAACAAGCCCTTCTCTCTCTTAGAAAGATGAGGCAGGCTAAAGCTCAAGCCTTCTGTACACAACCTGAGCCAAATGAAGCAGACCAAACTCACTGTGGGCAGCCTGGGACTGGGCCTGATCATCATCCAGCATGGGCCCTACCTCCAGATCGCCCACCTCATCAAGAAGGGGGCTGCAGCCCCGGATGGAAAACTCCGGCCAGGTGACTGTGGTTTCCCCAGGCCTCCCTCCAGTCTGCCTTCAGGGAGTCACGGGCTCTCAGCATAACCAGAATGATATGAAGGACCAGGATGATATGAAGCCACTGGCTGAGAACTTCAGGTGCTCCAGTCAATGGCTATCATTTATATAACTCTCACTGTTGGGTGTGAGAGTTAACTCTTATAATAATCCTCTAGGTAGGAACCGTTATCATCCTCTTTTCACAGGTGAGGAAACCAAAGGTGAGTCCCTTATCCAGGGCCCCTACTCCTTATCAGTGACACACAAACGCAGGCCCAGTGTCACTGCAGAGTCTGTGACTCTGTTCAGAAGCACATCTTCTTTTGGAGGCAGCATTGGCCATCGCTAACATTTGGCTGCATGAGCTCATTTCACCCTCCTGACAACCCCAAGAGATAGATTCTGCATTAAACCACCTCACAGACAAGGAAGCAGGCATGTAGCAACTTGTCCACAGTCACACTGAAGAGTGGGATTTGAACTCTCCCTCTGAGGCTCCAGAGCTTTACCAGTAGCATCTTGCTTCTGTAGTCTTTGGGTGAAAATATTTTTGCTTTCTTCTTTTTTGTTTTTGTTTTTTGAGGCAGGGTCTTGCTATGTAGTTCAGGCTAGTCTTGAACTCATGTAGCCCAGGCTGGCCTTGAACTCATGGAGATCATCCTGTCTCAGCCTTCAGAGTGCTGGGAATATAGGCATGCACCACCATAACTGGCTCTGGGTGAATATATTTTCTATCTGATGCAAGATATTCTTTCCCAATGCCACCTTGAGCCTGGTGCTGTGCTCAGGAGTGAGGAAGATACAGTGAGGGTGTTCACATGGTAAGAGGAAAAACATTTCAGGTTAGCTGGTCTGAATTCAGGTATGGGACCTGCCACTTTCTAGTTCTGTGTCCTTGGGCAAAGTCATGTAGCCTTTTAGGCCTTAGTCACTTCATTTCTTCTTCTTTTTTTCTTTTCAGGGCTGGGAATCAAACCCAGGGCCTCACGCACGCTAGGCAAGGCCTTTACCACTGAGCTACACCCCGTCTCAGCTTAATTTCTAAACTGGAAAAACCCTCTCTTTGTTAGAGAGTGCTACAATTTGATGAATTTTTTTTTTTGGTACATGGGATCGAACTCGGGACTTTGTGCTTGCGAGCTAAGCGGTGGAACCACTGAGCTAAATACCCGGCCGGATTTGATGAATATTGATGAAAGTGCTTTGAAAATTCAAGTATTTAAAAAATATTGGCAATTATTTCTCTAGACTATGTCTTTTTTAAAAAAAAACAAACAAAAAACAATTGTGGTAGACAGCTATTTTTCATTAGTAGCATGGCTGCTGCAAAGCCGATATAATATATAGGTAATGAGACAGAGTTTATACAATGTCATTCCTACAGCCCATTAAAACAGAAAAAAGATGTGTAACGAGGCTGGTGTTCATAAATATCAAACTAGCGTCTCTCTATGAAGGGCGATGTTAATATCTATTTTGCTAGAGTAATCACATTCATACGCTGACACCTTTGGTTTACAGCCAGTACGGTCAGGGAATTAAGCTGTTTATTTTCTTCTCTCTTGATAAAAGTCACCCTTTTACAACATAATTAAGCAGAATGCCAAGCCATTGCTTTCAGCTATAAACACTCCTTTTAACATTAGGCACGTATGCTCATGCAGAGAGGGATTTTTTTTCCCCGTGGTAATTAACCTTGGTAAGAAGAGCAGCTGTTTCATACCGTCATCCTGCAGGTGATTGGGAGAAGCCTTGTTTCATCCTGGAGTTAGTTTCAGGTCCATGGTTGATTTTTAACCCCAGCTACTTCTTAAGACTGAGGTAGAGGTTTTCTCCATCCTTCTAAGTATTCATTTTCTGCACTAATGGAAGCTTTTCTTTCTGATAGGATCTAGCACTGTGGAAATCTGTTCATGGCATTCTTTGGTTCTTTTTTTTTTTGGTACTGGGGATTGAACTCTGGACCTTGTGCTTTCGAGGCAGGCAGAGGAACCACTGAGCCAAATCCCCGGCCCTTCTTTTGGTTCTTTTTTCTTTGTTCATTTTTGTCTGTCTGTTTGTTTTTTGAGACAGGGTCTCACCATGCAGTTCAGGCTGGCCTGGAACTCATGGCAATCCTCCTGCCTCAGCCTCCCGAGTGCTGGGATCACACTCACCCCATGACATTCTTTGGAAGCTTCCTTGAGCATCAGTGTAATTTCCTATTTAGCCCATGAGGGTGTAGTATCAGAGAAAGGTGCTTCTCCTCAACCCTTCTCTCCTTTGAGGTTAGGCTTGAGCTGTCTTGGAATGGCAGTGATTTGGAGTCCCTAGTTTCCCACACACTCAGAGGTGGACCCATCCTTTATAAGTTCATCTGAGGCACTTTCAACCCATGTCAGCTCTAAAATCCCATTACCATTTGGCAGGATGTCAGTATTAATAAGCTCTGATGACTACCATTTTACCCCAAATGAGTCTGTCCTGAAAACACAAATCTTTTGTATTCCTTCCTCAAAGCATTTTCTGATTGCAAATAGCATTCAGGGTTTATCACTGAAAACAACACAAAACAGTCCTGTTGAGGCACTGAATTTAGGATACCAAGTCTGACGGAGTTGCCAAAAAAGCTGCAGAGGCAGGCTTGGAAAATGGGGAGAGAGCAAACAGCTACACATGACCACTCCTGGAAACTGAGTGCTGTTGCTGCCCCTCAGCATCTCTGTTCCAGGTTCAGTGACCCGGAAGGCAGTGCCTGGTGACTGGACCTAGTTTATAGGTTGGTGTCCTAGCTACTGGGGGTAGGGAATGGGGATGTCTGCAAAAGTGAATACAGGTAATAGGGTTTTTAGCTTTTTCCATTTTGGGAGTCCAGGTGTTTGTTGCCAGGATGGTGTCTTCTCCCCACCTGCCCCACGGCTGACTGACTGTCTTGCTTCCTTTCCTGTCCAGCATGGCCCTCAAGTAGGGAGTCTAGCTGTCAAGCCCCTCTGAACCAACATACTCTGGATACATATCTCAAGCATAATTCAAGCAAGCTAATCGTTCTATGTTTTGTGCAGAATTTCTCCCACCTAATTCTATAGAGGAGCTGAAAATTAAAATGAAAGGCTTGGTGCTTAATGTAGGCTATTTACTGTGGAGGGCACTGGAAACTGCCAGGCAGGTATAATAGAAAGCAGATCATTAACTGATCACTTAGTCTAAGTGGTTTTCTTCTTTACTAGTAATAATCATTCATTTTCCTTGAAACTAATATATTTTTAGAATCCTAAAGGATGGTTCAGACTATAAATGGATTTTAGCCTCTGTTACGCCAAGAATTTCAGAAATGTCTCAAGAACATAGCAGAACATCTTCCGTTACAGTGCTATTAAGAGGCATCTCACAAGCATTCTTCATCATGCAGAGGACACTCAGGCCAAAGAGATGAACTCTTTTTTTCCAATATGGAGAATTGAATCTAGGGAGTGCTGAGCTACATCTCTAGACCTTTTTAAATTTCATTTTGAGATAGGGTCTCCCTAAGTTCCCTAGGTTAGCCTTGAACTTGCAATCCTCCTTTCTCAGACAGCCAGGAAGCTGCACAAGCACTCCTGTACCAAGGTAGCTGTCCCACCACTCCTGTACCAAGGCCAGGATGAACATTTTTCATAAAGGGTGAAGGCTGGTTTTGGTCCAAAATAAAATACCTTACAATGAAGCCAGAAATCAATATGGCCCTTTTCAATCTGTTATCTTAGTTTTACTGACAATATTTTTCTTCCTTTAGGCGATGTTCTGATTAGTGTTGGTTATGCCAATGTGCTAGGTTATACACTTCAGAAATTTTTAAAGCTTTTGCAACACATCACCATAGGAACAGAGCTACAAATTCAGGTGTACCGAGATTTTATCGACATACCCCAAGAATGGCGAGAAATATATGATTTAATTCCTGAGAAAAACCCCCCAGTAACATTTAGGTAAGTACTTAATTTTAGGAACTGTTACAGTACAGAACCCAGGGACTGTGAATCACAGGGACTTGATTTACTGTTTGAATCATTAGATGGTTAGGGAGGAGGGGCTGGTGACACTGCCAGAATGACTTAGGAGAATTGCTAGATCCTTTGGAAAAGATGGTCTGCACCATCTCGTATGAGGCAGGACGGTAAAGCCAACTTGGGGTTAAAAACAATCAGCAGTCATTGGTGGGAGCTCTGTGCCCAAGCCTGCAGGCACTGTGCCCTTCTTTCCAGTCAGCTCTTAAAATGTGCACTTGCGCTGTTGGCTTCTTTCTCTCTGAACCCTTCCTAATAATCTTGAAGCCCCTTTACGCCACTCCCTCCACATTACTCCTCTTTCCTTGCCTGGTCCGGCCACTGTACCACCCTGGACTCCCCTCCTAACTTGTTCAGCTGTGTCGACATCTCCATGCCCTCCACTCCCCAGGCGTCCACTGCTTGCTCCGCCTCCATCTGGACTTGTCTTTTGTGCCTCAGCTGCAGGTCCTTCTGGGGATCATCCACAGCCTTCATACTGTGGTTCCAATGACTGCTGTATTCTGCATGGCTTCTAAACACCATTACACTTTACAACTACCCTTCTACTCCTACCTCTGACATCTTCCCCAGGCTTCTGTGATGCCACACTTTTTTTATGTTGCGGTTTTGTAAGACAAGGTCTGGTTGTGTAGTTCAGGCTGGCCTTGAACTCACTATGTAGCCCAAGCTGGCTTCAAACACAAGGCCATCCTCCTGCCTCAGCCTCCCGAGTGCTAGGATTACAGATGTGTGCCACTATGCCAGGTTTATGATGCCACAGTCTTGTACTCACCTCAGGCCACTTCCTCTTGGTCTTTCTCCCCAACTCAGAATTCCTTAAGGTTTAGCCTTTGGGTCTTAGTCTCTTAGGCAATCAATTTCATTGATCCTTGTGGTTTCTATTACTATCCATACACTAATCACTTTCAAATTGTACTATCTCCAAACTTGTATATTTAAACACCAACTTGATATCTTCATTTGGATGTATAATAAATCCTTTGAACTCTTTAGCTTGATTGAAAGCTAGCTCACCAGTGATTTTCCAGTGGCCCTATTGTGTGTGTGTGTGTGTGTGTGTGTGTGTGTATGGTACTGGAGATTGATCATGGGACTCTTGCATTGAGCTACATCCCCAGTCTCACTAAATAGCCCAGGCAGGACTTGAACTTGCAGTTCTCCTGCCTCAGCCTCCCAAGTGCTGGGATTACAGACATGGGGCACCACACCTGGCTGTGGCCCTATCTTGGGGAGTGTTTCCCAACTTGAACAAGCCTGATATTTAGGGTTGTGCTTGGTGTCTAAGACTGGTCATTTACCTTCTGTCTTCTCACATTTGTACACTTCTGTCTCTGGCTATTACCACTGTCCCAGACGGAGTCGCCCTTTTGATCTCTGTGTACCTACTCTTGCCTCCTATTCATTCTCCAAATAGGACAATCCTTTTACAATGCAAATCTGATCATGGCACTTTCCAGCTTAAGATCTTTAAAGACCTTTTGATTTTAGAATGAATGTCAAAGTCCTTACACTTGGCCTATAATGCCATCCATGGTCTGGCTTCATTTCATACTTCTCTCCTCATCCACTAGTCCTCTTTGCTTCTGACTTGTGTTGCTCTTTGGTCTGTAACATGCCTGAGAGTTTTCTTCAGCATTCATCCTTAAAGGCTCTTAGGAGGCCTTCAAACCAGAGGCACGGGACAGGACCACCTGCTGTATGCTTTCTTTGCACTCTAGCTCTACATTTACCCAATTCTGACTAAATAATATGTATAATCAGTTATTTGTGTTGCCCTAGGAAAGTGTACGTTCCAAGAAGGTAGGGACTGAATCTGTCTAGTTCTGCCAAGACTTCCATGAAATTTTCACACTGTGGAGGGCTCGTTTATTGGAAGAGTGAATGAAAAACTGGAACCAGCCTCGAATCTCATTTATCTGTACCAGATTTAACAGGGATTCTTCTAAGGATCAGAATGAGATCCTTTTCCTTAGTGTCAAATTCAGTGCTCTGATGCAAGTGGCCTTTAATTCTGTCACATTCTGAACACTTAGCTATTGTAGCTACTTATCTTTGTTCAGAGAAACATGGCCCAAGTTATACTAACTTTACTGCAGAGACTCAGACTTGTGGCTAAAGATCTGACAGAGCCCACAGCTGTGCTCTGCTGAGCTTTCAAAGCATTAACCCCCACCCCGAAGAGCAGTGACCTGTGGAGAGCCAAGACACATGGGAGGCTTAAGCAGCGGCAGTAATACTCCACTTCTTGGCTTGGATGGTGGCCACCAAAGCATTTGCTTACACACATACATATATATAGTAATATGTATATAGTAATATATATATATATAATTTCTTTTTTCTTCATTAAAATGTTTTTGCTTTCTTCTGTATATTTCAAAAATTTTAAAATGAAAAATATTTGTTAGTTGCTGAATTTATAAATCTAATATTTCATGGAAAGAATCTCTCATCTCCCCAAAAGTCAGAAGACAGACCTATGTTTCTAAGTGATAATGGTGGGCTTAAAAGGGGAACAGCTGTCCTCTCTGGATTGGGCAAACTGGGGAAGATTTCTTTTTCCTGTGACCAGACTAATGCTGATTTGATTAAAGATCATTAGAACTATTAGTGAATACTTAACTCATCGCTTACCATGTGGTTCGCACTGCAAAAGGATTTTACAAGTAGGCCATTTAAGCCTCTCGGAATGCTTTTTCTTATGCTCATTTTACAGGTAGAAGTGTGTATAAACTTACCAGGGGGCACAGGGCTACAGGGCACAGGTCTGTCTCTAGACCAAGGCTGTTAACTTTCTTCTCAAATGCTCTCTACTGGCCACTTAAATGTGGGTGAATGTAACCGAGGAATTTTTAAATTATATTCAAGTTTAATCCATTTAAACCTAACAGCCCCATGCAGCTGGAGGTCTCTGTATTGGAGACTGCAACTCTAAAGCCTGAGTTCATAACCATTTGCTTACAGAACCACTATGTTCTAAGCATTTTCAATACTAGAGGAGATTCAGAATATTAAAAACTAAGGATGACAGAGTGAACATTCAAAGCAAAGGGATAAACAGAGAAAATAGCACAATTTAAGTACAAGTCTAAAGCCCCAAACTTACAAAAAAATACCAAGCATATTCTAAATCCTTTCTTAATTAAGCAAAGTACTTACAGTTAAGGCATTTTGGTAACATATGTGGAAGGGGCGAGGGGAAGGAAGACTTGTTTCACAGCAAGACCTTTTTCTGCAGCAGATGGCACTGTGTATAATGGAGAAGACACTCCATATGAAGCTCTGGGTAGGCCTAATTGTATGAAATCTTTTGTTTCCAGCCAACCATGACCTCTGCTGGCTGTGGCCTATCTGATGCCAGTTTAATTAGAGCTCACTCTACTGCCCTTTCACCTCTTGTAGTTTGAGAAAAATAACTTAAATTTTTTGTTTTAGAAAAATTTAGAAAAAATTTCTGAATCTGTCAGAAGCCAAAGTGTTTTTTTTTGTTTTTTTTTTGGTACCAGGGATCAAACTCAGGTTCTTGGGCTGCACAGCAGGCGGCAAAACCACTGAGCTAAATCCCCTGCCCTGCAAAGTGTTTTAATTCTGAGTTCTTCTGAATTTCCTTGCATGGCCCTAAGTCAAAGATAAAGAAAATCACACCATTTAAGACTAGTGGCTCTCAGTAAAAATGACTCAGTACCAAGTGCCTACTATAAAATAGACAAAATTTAGAAAAAGTTGCTTAAGTTCTTAGAAGTAAATAAAATAGGCAGAGCCAGGGATTTAGCTCAGTGGCCACCGCCTACCTTGAAAGCACAGGGTCCTGAGTTCCATCCCTGGTACCAAAAAAACCTTCCATTATAAAATAGGCAGATTGACAACAGCCTAGCAAGTCTGACAGGTTGGCAGGGCAGTGGGGGAAAAACCTGTTTCCTATTAACAGGATGGAATGTGCCAGGTGGCTATAATCTCAAAGATCTAGATTTGGATCTGCTGACCAAAAGATGAGGGAGAGCAGTGGATGTTTGTTCTGCAAAGTAATATCAAGTCCAAGTACTGTAGGCACTGGAAAAGTCCAGAGGCTCAACCAAGTTTCAACAAGCCAGCTCAGCAAGGTGGTGTGTACATGTGCACCTATAATCCCAGCACTCAGGAGGCTGAGGCAGGATCATCTCAAGTTCAAGGTCAGCCTGGGTTATACAGTGAATTTAAGGACAGCCTGACTACATATTGAGACCGTCTCAAAAATAACCCCAAACCAAACAAAAAACACAAAAAAAGCCAATAGTTGGGGCAAATAACCAAAAAATAAAAAGGATCTTGAAAGCTTTTGGATGACAACATAGAGATGGAATTAGTGAGTGTTGGGTACTCTACAAGTCCGCATCTGTAAGCCCCGAGAGGCAGAGAATGATGCTGTGCGGCAGTATCATGAGAAAGACTCAAGGACTTACCAATGATTAGCATGCTTAAGATCCTTGAGGCTATTTCCTGGATCCCCTGGCAATTGGTGATCTTTTCTGTTATTGCTACATAAACCATGAGAACAGAGTTTTCAGGAGATTGTCATCTTTTTTTTTTTTTTTTTTTTTTTGTGCCGGGGATCGCACTCGGGACCATGGGCTTGCAAGGCAGGCGCTGGAACCACTGAGCTAAATCCCCGGGCCAGGAGATTGTCATCTTGAACTTGTCACTCTAGATGAAGTAAATAAATGCATCCCTTAAGGCCTCCTAATATTCTGGTCAGCAGTCTGGTTTAAATTTGTGCAAAGCTTTTTAAAGTAGTATGAAACAATTTAAGATTCGATTTATGTTTAAGAATGAAAGACAGGTGTGGTGGCATACTCAGGAGGCCAAGGCTATAGGACCACCTAGTGTTTGAAGCCAGCTAAAATGTGTGATCCTCCTGCTTCAGCCTCCCAGACGGCAGCTGGGAGTAAATGTGTGCCACTATGCTCAACTTTAAAGGGGTTTTTAAAAAGAAAAAAACTTCAATGATACAGAAAGGTAGTACCAAAACCAATTTGTATTTCTTTTTATGAGCCAAAGCAGGTTATAAGACACTTTATAAGCTTGCCAATATTAAGAATTCATTTCATTCACTATTCTTTTCATTTCAGCACACCAAAGTACACTGAGCAGACAAAAGATGATTCTGTTACCAGCAGTGATGACAATGAAGATGTAGTTTTAGAAAAAAAACCTTAATTATAGGTACCCACAGTCAACTGGGGTACAGCCTGCAAGGATACCAGTATCCACCTCCAGAGAATGGCATGAATATAAAAATAAGAACCACGCTATTCATGTTGGAAAAGACAGAAAGATAACGAGGGCCCCTTCTCCACACTGGACAATGGGAGAGCAAGACAATGACAGCTCCTCTTCCTCTGCTTCAGATGCATTTTGGCCAGAAGACTGTGCCCAAGCTGAGAAGGGCAAAGGTCAGCCAGTATCTAAAGTAGGTTAGGCAGTGGTTTGCCAATCTGTGGTCACACAAGTATCTATCTTGAAAACATCCAATTTTTGTTCCTCACCGTGTATAGGTTTGCAGGCATTCTTACGGAGTAAGTACAGAACTATCAATTCTCTTCCAGGACTGTGTTGAAAAGCTTTAGACTTTCTTCAGCGTAATGGTGAAGGACTTCCCTAGTCTCACAGGCCTCACAAATCATCCAATACAGCAGCAATAAAATAGAAACATTATTCAGCTCATCAAGACCTTTTCTGAGAATTTCTCATCTTTTAGAAAATGCAGTACAGGAACCCAGTATCTGAATGTCTGAATACAATAGAGAAATTTAATTTGAGGTAAATACCACAGTTTTACTTAGGTATTTGGGCTTTCTTTTTTGTAAAACTTATAACGTCCTAAAAAGGAATAACAGAAGCTGGGTATGCTGATGCACACCTATAGACCTAGCTACTCAGCAGGTTTGCTGAGGAAAAAGAGATCCCAAGTTTGAAGCCAAACTGGGCAACTTGGCAAGATAGTGTCTCAAAAGATAAAAAGGAGTGGGGAATGTAGCTCCGTGGTATATCACCCGTAGGGTTAACACGTTCACAATGGGGCTGTAATTCATATGCTTCACTGCTGGGTAGCTTGAACCACCAGTGGTATATGCATGACTGTTTCATTGGGAGGGTTTTTATTAATTTTGTTAGTAAAAAGACCAACACGATTAGATCCATTTGTACCAGTGATACAAGCTGTTGGATGGGACAGTCATGCATGTACTGCCAGAGGTTCAAGCTGGCAGGAACGTGTTAAAAAGAAAGAGAAAGTCCTACTTTTACTTTGAATGTTGGGCTGATACAGTTAATTATCTGAAAGAGACAGGATTGAAACAGATGAACGGAGATGGAAGAAAAAAGCTGCCAGTGAAGATACATCAAGACATAGAATGAAGTACATGAAGTAATAGGTATCAGGACATGATTCATAAGGGATTTTTCAGAAAAAAATTTTACTACAAAAAAGGGAAAAAAGGGCTAAAAACCAGGCCACTTAACCCAGACAACTTAACTGTTGTTACCCGGAATGATAGTTCTAACTTGTTTTTTTTTTTTGCTCTCAGGCAAGGTTTATTCTGATTCCCCTGTCCTGGAATGGGGCTGCTGCATCTCACCCCAAAGGAATATGGTATTTGGGGAGTGGAGCTGTTGGGAGGGAGTTGCCAGCCTCAGCAAATCAATGTAGCTGGTACAAAGTGACTCCATCAGTCCTCCAGCACTTGGCCAAGCGGACTGGGGAATGGTCAGAACAGACTTGCCAGAGGCTACAATCCCAAGGTTCAGGAGGTATAGATAATACAGGAAAAGGGTGTTTCCTATTTCTGTCCACTTCAGGAGCAGCAGATGGGTTTTTTTGTTTTGCTTTGATTGGTTTCTTTAAAATTACCTAGGAAATGGAAAGCTTGTAAATGTTCACAGGTGAGTTGTTGAATTGCTACCTTAAGTGATTTCCTTTACTAACCATTGCTTAACCTGAAATATTATATCAAAGGTTCAAATTTCCAGAATTCAACCAGGCTGACAATTTGCCTGTCCCTCGCAATTACCAGTTTCAAAGAACAAAATTAAGTAAACAAGATCTTTCCTCAAATAGGCTCATTATCAGTTAGCTTTGTATGACCTATTCCTAAGAAAGCCACATTCCGTTTCAGAAAACACAACTGCTTAGGGCATAGTTAAAACAAAGTTCTTGCCTTGCTTTGAGGGGCTGTTTCCATTCTTTAACCTTTGAAATGATTATCTTATGTTTGTGTTAAAAGCTCTAAAGGGCATAGGTCTCATTCTTATAAAACTGGAAGAAAATAGCAACCTGGTGCCTAATTTGTGGGTTAGCAGGTAATGACCGATGGGTAGAGGTCTTCCTCTTCCTTGGCATGTCATTCCACAAGATGGGTTGTGGTATCACATGAGGTGTGAGTTAGAAATGAAAGCTGGACTGTACTTTCTGCACTCATAGGGCTTCTCCCCAGTGTGGGTCCTTTGGTGCAGTGAGGCTGGACCGCTGCCTAAAGGCCTCACCACACCCGTGACCCGTGTAGTTTTTCACCACTGTGGATTCTCTGGGGAATAAGTAGGTATGAGCTACATGTGAAGGCCTTCCCACACTCATTATACACGTAGGGAAGGTCTCCACTATGGATTCTCTGGTGGACAGTAAGGCAAGAGAGCTGACTGAAGGCTTCCCCACACTCTGCACTCACATGGCTTCTCACCAGTATGGCTTTGCTGATGTACAGTAAGATTTGCACTCTGAATGAAGGCTTTGCCGAAGTCATTACAGGCAAAGGGATTCTCCCCAGTATGAATTCTCTGGTGGATAATGAGGTTTGAGCTCTGAGTAAATGTTTTTCCACATTTGTTGCACTCGTAACATTTTTCAGTAATGTGGACCTTCTGGTGCTGGGCAAGTTGTGAGCTATAACAAGGCTTTCTCACATTCACTGCACTTGAAGGTTTTTTCTAAGGGGCAGATCTAATGTACAGTCAGATTAGAACTCTGCATGAAAGCTTTCCCACATTTTGCACACACGTACGGTTTCTGTCCAAAGTGGACTCTCTGATGCACAAGGTTTGCGCTCTGACTGAAGCCCTTGCCACACATGCTACATGTAAAAAGGCTTTTGCCCAGATGGGATTTTCTGATTTTTAACAGAGCCAGACCCAAGGCTGTTATCTTCCCCCAGATTTCTTAATATTTCTGGCCTTCCTCTTTGAAGCTTTCAGGTAATAGTCCTTCACTGTCACTTGTCTGAGGTCTTTGTGTTTCCCTCCTTATTCTCTGCTTAACATGTTTCCTTTTTCACAGACTTCTCCTAACTCAGGTCCCTGAGGGTCGGCTTTCTGATTCTGCCTGATAGTTAGAGAGGTTTTTCAGCTTCTTCACACATTTCAGTTTTGGGAACAAGTAACTGTAGGTGCTTGGTTTCAGCACCTAGTAAGTTCAGGTCCCCATGAGTCTCCAGTGTCTCACTCTTGGCCAGAGTCCCTGGGAAGGAGCAGATGCCAAGGGTTGGGGTTGCAGCAGCAAGTGCCTCCCGTGTTGCTTTTAGGACCACTGCCATGTCCCAGAACGTGCTGTGACCTTTTTCTCCTCCTCTGATAAATCAAGGCCTGGCTGAAGATCCTGTCCTGGGGCCCAGGCCTTGCTGTTCTCAGCATGTGCTTGTTGGCTGGATGTCTGACTCACTATATTTTTATCCTCTTCCTCCTTTTTCACCTTCACTGGGCCCCAAAGTGCTAGGGCCATGGGCTCTTTCAATTCTACAGTGATCTTCTTGCTCAGCAGGGCAACTCCTGAAGCTGGGGGCTGCCTAGGAGAGGTTAAGCCCCATCGAACTTATAAGCTTTAAAAGATTCTCCTTGAGTTTCTTCCCAGGATGGGCACTGCCTATGTGCGAGCCACTGGCCATCTCTCTAACTTGGTTCTATCTTAAAAGTCATGAATAATAATCTGGAAATTTTTATCTTGATAGCTACTTAGCTTTAATAGTTTCTGGCATTTCTTAACTGATACAGTTGATTTACTCAATTATTATATGCCCATCTCCTTTAAAGTATCTAAAACAAACGTCTCAGCATGTAATAAATACTTACTGATTAACTAGAAAAAAATGCAAAAAAACATTTAACCAGAATCTTTTATTGACTCTAGGTCAGCTGGGAATAATTACCTGCATTTATACTTTAAGGTACTTCACCCAGCTGAGAAAAAAGAAACATTACATTAGAGACTTCTGACTTTCATGTGTTTGTTGCTCTGGGCCAAGAAAATGTCCAGCGCTTCTGTAATGTGCTTTAATATTACAACTCATCTGTGAAAGGTGTATGCCCCAAATTTCCACTTGCTGCCATTGACTTCTGGCCAGAAACAAACTTCTTTGCAGCCTTTAAATAAACAAAAGAATACAGAAAGTTAAAAAAAAAAATAGTATATATCAAGTAGATAAACTTGTCATTTCAAAACTTTATATAGATAGAACCCTTTATGCCAGTAATTCTGTCACAGTCTCTTGTGAAAATTACCTGTGAGATGGCTAGTGGTTTATGTGAATATGAATATCCCATCATATGTGTAATCAACTAAGAGTAGTTCTCTAGATAAGAGGGCAGCTGTTGAAAGGTGGATGAGGAAAATCTCACTGACATGCAAAACGGTGATATCAGGCAGATCTGTACTAAGTCAATCGAAATATAATGACTGCTAAGTTAAAAGACAAACTTTATGTCCTGGTATTCTTTATGCCATTATTTCAAGTTTAAAGACTTGTTGTTTAAGTTAAGTGTAAAACCACAAAGAAGGTCTATGGTCTAGGTAAAGTGAGAGCCCCCATGGTACCTCAGGCCAGCTCTTTCCAAGGAGAGATGGTGATGGAGGCAGCTGGGTTGGGACTGGAATACTCTCAGAAAGATGAAGACAGACATTTAGAAGAGTATGTACTGATGAGCTCAGGGTCCAATTGAAGTAAGGGGTTTTTTTTTGGTACCGGGGATTGAACTTGGGTCCTTGTGCTTGAGCAGCAGGTGGTGAAACCACTGAGCTAAATCCCCGGCCCTGAAGTAAGGGTTTTATCTTAAAATAGCCTTGTCTATTTCTTCTATCCTATTGTCTCTATACATTGACAAGAAGTTGGTTGAGATATCTACAGTAGAAAAGGAGTCAGCATTTTAAATGTAGGAAACACTTGGAAAATACACTGACTCTAGATATATTCTGTAGTTTACGTGCTTATTAGGCATAGTAGGAAATACAAAGAAATATAAGACCTAGTCCTAGCGCTCACAACTCAGTCTTGTAAAAATCAAATGTGTGGGGAAAAAAAGCAGCATGGACAATGTCTTAGGCTAACCAAAGTAAAGAAAATCTTGAGACACTAGATGGTGAAGGATTGGCAGGATGAATTTACTTCTTGGGGATGAATGAGGAAAAACTAACAACCAACTACTATTTAGATCAAATCCTAAAACACTGCCAGTATCTGACTCTTCTTGACCTCTAAGAATCTAAAATGGTGTAACCTAATGGTAATTTGTTTGAATGAGGAAGACACATATACACCAGAGTACCTTGTTATCTGATGGTAATGAGGACCCCATCTCCATACTAGGAACAGAGGGACCAATCAACAAGAGAACAACATATACAGCCCAA